CCCTCAATAAAATCTTACCAGTGGCCATATGCAACACTTTTTTATTTTCCATTAAACTAAAGGTTGTGGGGATGTTTGCATATCTGAAATACAAATCCCACTAATGAGCACAGAAAAGAATGTTCAGTTCTTCTTGAGCTATTAGGAAATACTTGCATCCCACAAAAAAAGGCAAAGCATTTGCAAGGTAGTCAAAATTCAGACACTGTGAGTGTGGAAGCCCAAGCCCCTCCTTTCCTCAGTTCACACACACAAGCTAGCAGCCTCCCATCACTTCTTTAAGTGCTCCCTGTGCAAATGGAAGTTTATCATTCCACATGCTCAACCAGGTCCCCTCATTCACTGCTCTCTGTACCCTGAAGGTGTTCAACCCCTTCCCCTAACCCCATGCACTGAAATGACATGGCATCTTCAAAAGGCTTCAAAGGGCTCAGGTAACTGATTCAGTCTCTCTCAGACCATATCAGTTAAAAGGGCAATAATACTCACGTGAATTCAATTGCAAGAGATGCTGGTAAAAGGGAGGCAACAATAAAGGATATAATTTAAAGGATATAGCAATAAAGGTGACAAATTGAGGTTGTGGCATAGGACACAATTCTGTCTGTATTTCACTCTGATCCCTCCAGCCACAGCTTTGTGGAGCTCACCAAAATAAGCCTCTCAAGGACCTCTTGCAACGGTACCAGTGGTTTCACCCCAGAGACCACATCCTCAGAGCGTGGATTAAACACTAACACAATGCCCTTCAATTCAACTCCTATTTCTTACTTTAATCCATAATTAATCCATTGCCCACACCCTTAAGTGGGTACTTCCATTCACCATTTTAGTGAAAGTGCTATAAACTGATTGTACAAACAGTTTGTGAACATTCAATAAAGATGACAAAGCACTGTAGGGTGCCTCATAGGATCCTCTATAAGACACCAGATCACTTCAAGACAAACTTAGGACTAAAACTTAAAGCTTTTGCTTCTGACAACTAACAAGCAATACCTAGTGTTGGGAAAAAGCAAATGACACGACAGTACGAATGCTTACTCACACTATGTTATAAATTCTAAAAATGGCCAGTCTGCAAATGTAAGCACTCTCAACTTACTTTCTGATGTAAGATCAAAAGAAATTTCACTGAAATTCATGAATTTGAGATCATACTTGTCCTGATTCTCTTCTATTCCCCGGTGGAACTGCAGACTTCATAGGAGGTGAAAAAGAATCCCTTCTAATTCTCCATTAGTCCTTCTTCCCAAGGTCCATTACGTGTCTAGTTTGCAAGTCTGCCTCACTGCATATGTGCCGGCAAAGTCACTTTTCCATGCAACTTTTCTGTGTAAAATCACTGTACTGTAGAAGTATCAGTGTTTTTAATATGTTTTCAGCAATGAGTCTACAAAGCCATGGGACAACAATTACAACTCTTTCTTATGTCGAAAAGTACAGCCACAAAGGCCATATTCTTCCTATTACTCACTACCTCCTGTTTACCAAAATACAATTGAAAGTCATCCACTTATCTCCGGAACAGAGAATAATTTAATGAACTTTTCCCAAGCACCCACATTTGAGGGAGAGTTTATAACAGAAAGACCTCATTCTAGCCAGCTCAGCTGCATGCATTTTTATGTCATGTATTCACAGCCACAGTACTCATATTTAGTGACAGTAGTACTCGTCATACAAATCCTCCATACTAACATACAGAGCTCAAAAGAGCTCTTCTTGCAAGCTTTTCTGAAACAACAGAAGACACTGTCAGCACAGTATTATTTTTTTCACATAGTTCTATGTGCATTTTCACATAGTTCTATGTGCATTAAAAGAATCAACATTTTACCATGTTGGTCCATATATGTCCTCAGCAGAAGCCTTCCCACTTGCCCAACAGAAATCACATCAATGCCAGGGAAAAAACACATCTTTTGTGTAAAGTCAGACCATTAGCATCTATTTCTGAAATGAAACAGAAGAAAGTTTGTATTTCAGGAATCTGGAGCTTAAAATACATTTACCTATAACACACAGGAAATCTGATGAAGTTACTGGCTTCTTAGTGCAATCTAGAATATTACAGTGTCATCTTTCTCTTTCATTCTTTCTTTCCTTTTTTTTAAAAAATCAGATTTGATGCCCAAAGAACCTGCAGAAATGGACATGCTCTGATATTTACCTCTGCCTGTAAGCAGCTCTGCCATCTGGCACTAGAAAGTATTCATCTAAAAAGTAAATCTGAATTAAGGATCATGAACCTACTCCTTTTAAACTGTGTTTCACCTGAACACAAAGAAGGTCAAATTCACAGTCATGCGAGACATCAAACCTACCAATTCAGTACTGTTCGTTTAAGCCTGCACAGCAGACTCAGAGGTAGGCTGCTGCTTTAAAAGATGAAGCATCAAACTGAAACGAAAACTGAGCTAATCCCAGATTTCTGTATCTTTATAAAATACAGGGAGAATTCAGACAGAAATAACATGCCATCGTAATCCAGGCCATAATCTCATTTAACCAGAGCAAAATGAACTATATTCATCCTTACGCTGGCTCCAGCTCCAGAGCAGGGAAGTGTGACTATACTCATGAAGGACTAGTCAAGTGGAAACACAGACCCTGAAGACAAATGAAAGGACCATCATTGCTGTATTCACAGTATAGGCTGCACCCTTTACTCTTTATTTACACTAGCACATGCTCAAGAATATACAAAGGTTTCAACAGACAAAAATTGAGACTGTGACTTTTTCTATGTGATAAAAAAACCTCACTTAGTGCAATAAGGTGGGAGCCCCTCTAACATTTTGGGCCTTCCCAGGCAAACAGAACAGTTCACTACCTCCCTCTGTGCCCCCCTGCTTGAACTGCTCCAGTATTAAGTGAAGAGCTTTTCAGGACACAGTATAAACAAAGATTTAAGAGTTCTTTTCCCCTCCTCTTTAAAACCAGGTGAAAAAATCTAATCCAAACAAGAAGACTTACTCAGAAAACAGAAAAAGGGACAAAACAGATGCCCTCTAGATGTATACACATATAGAAATAAAAGACCCCCTAAACACTGATGTAAAAATTGTCATTTCTAAAAATTAGACAAATAGAAAGATGAGTTCTCTGACAAACAAGAAGGTTCAGTATTACAAACAAGAAGGTTCAGTATTGCAAACAGTGCATACTGCTCACATGCAAGGATTTTATTCCTCCAGTTTCCAGGGGCTTATTTCTAACATGCAAAAAAACCTGTATAAAAATATGCAAAAAAAGTTACAAAAGCCTGTAAAAAAACCAACTCAAACTTTTCCCCTCCCTCCTTTTCAAATTAAGATTTGAAAACAGAAACGCTGTGTTGTTCTGTGACATAAGGATGTACTACACAAACACCCATATACTGCTGCTTTTTCATATATTGCAGAGTCCTCTTTCAGAATGTCTGATGTCAAATAGCAAATCACAGAATTGCAGAATCTTCATGGTTGGAAGGGGGCTTCATCATCATATAAAATCACCTTATAAAATATGGCAAACATGTTTTGTGAAAAAAAATAGTTATTCAGTGCATGGACAATCTTCTACTCTGTGTAAACATCAGCATCTGATACAGCAGCGCTCCAGCTTGGGTTGATGATTAGGTAAAACTGTAATACAATCAGAAAATCACCCATATTAAAGATGATTCTTGTAAATTAGTTTCAATAACAGGGCTAGATTTCCCCTAAGTACTTCTTCAGCCATTTAACAAGGCTAGCTATAAATCATTGCCGATGTAGCTTTTGTGTAAAATAAGAGACTAGGTGCTTCCTCCCACTGAAGGCCTCAGAGCTTCTTCAAGAATTTGGGAGAAATGCTTTAATTTTCTCCATGCCCCTAATTTCCCCACTTACTACCCACAGCAACAGCTGTGTTTCCTGCAGAGTCATTTCCCCCTGCCACAGCAGGGAGAGGTAGAACAGCATACAGAAGGACGATGCCACTGCCCGTTTCGAAACTTCTGCTCAAGGACGGAGGAAGCAGAACATGTAAGAGACCAGAGCTAATCCAGCAGCATTGCTTCCCACGTGCCAGGAAGGCAAATGAAGGGGTCAGAATAACACAGTTACAGCAGGGCCACAAAGGAAGCTACAGAAAAAAAAGTAGCAGGTTTTACGAAGGAAGAAACAAATAAAAGGACAGCTCAACACCCCGCCTGTCGTTCACAACACAAGCAGCACAGAAGCAAAAGGGAAGAGCTGAGTTACATGAGCTTTGCATCACTTAAGGCTCACCTAGGTGGAAAACCTACCAAGGGGAGAGAATCATTAAACAGGTTACAGTAGAGCAGCTCAAGTGAAAATGGAAGAAGGGGGCTTAAATTTCAGCAGGAAGTCTGCAACAGCTTCAGTGAGGGCAGAGATGACAAAACATGGCTCTGGAGTAATGCAGAGACGAGAAAACCAGTTGTGCAAGCACCGGTGATGTCCTGTAGGTTAGGAGCAGGAGGGCACAACACCGAGCTGGGATCTTCTGCTTGGGTTCACTGGAGATAACAAACCATTTACTACAGAAAAGAAAGGCCAAGGAGATCATGAACTCTCACACTTCAAGCCCTGCCAAAAGTACCAGTGAAACAGTCCTAACAGCTTGTGCTTTACGGCCTGATGCAAAGCCAACTTAAAGCAACAAAAAATAACTTTCAGGGTGCCTAGAGGGCAGATTTTAACAAACCCTATTATACCTATTACAAAATCTCTCCATAGAAGGATAAAACGCAACTGCTTCCTTTGCACTTAACATGGTTATGACTGCTTCGCTGCGCAAATACTTCCTACCTTACCTTGGCTGGTTTAGTCGTATCTTGCTAATAGATCTAAAAGAAAGCATGTAATCATCAAGACAACATCACAACAAATCATCACTAAAACTGCTTTAGTTCTTCCTGAAGCCTTCAATTCACATGAAGCAAACTGTCTAGCTATCTTGCAAGGCTGGGATTTTTGCTCTTTTTTCAGTAGACGCTCTTTTTCACTTACTGGCATTTCAGCAGCAGAAAGAGGGACATAGCAGGCAGCTTGAAAACAAGATGAATCAGAGCGAGTTCTCTCTGGTGGTCAGCATTTGCACGAAGAGTTTGTGGACAAGTAGGATGGAGAGGCTGTCTTCAGGGTTGTGTTGAGTCAGGGACTGTCATCTTGGTGTTTAGATGTTAAGCATGTTCTTGAAGTTTCTTTTCAAAATGTTAACTGTGAATTATTTACTCAGCCCACAATGAAGTAAGAAATTATAATTAAATAAAGAAATTATGTAAACTCAATTGAAGATAATTGAGTTTTATTGTCATAAATTATTTGTATAATAATAAATATTTTTAAATACAGAACTCATACTCTAAATGCATACATGAAGGCAAACATAACTCTGACACGCAGTCTTAGAAAAGAAGAAAAAAAAGGTAAGAAAAGAGAAATTAAGATAACTTCATTATTGCAGTTCCAAAACAGAATCCCTAACTTAGAAAATCTCTTGTGAGGAGTACAGCAAAGGCTTGAGATTCAGTGGATTCTACATGAGGATAATAAACAATACCAATCTAGGCTACATTAAAATTATAGCACCAGAGTGAATAAAAGAGCAGTAAAGCCACTATAAAAAACTGTTTTGCCCATTCTGTGTATGTCAACACTAATTAGAATATGTCCCACTTTTTGCATATAACCAATTGTCTGAACAGGACATCCACATATGGGCTTTTATCGGCACAAAATACAAACGATGCCAATATCTGGAAGTATCATTTAAAGTATTTGAAGAAACTATTTACATCCAGTCATTGCGTGGATCACAGCGTGCGCACACTCCCAGCCTGAATGCTGAAGGCAAAACAACACTGTGATTCTAAAGGTAAACAATTATTTGGCTATTTCTAATGCCACTGTTTTTTATTCTATTAACACAGAAATACATCATTCAGTAAATTTAGTTCTAAGCAAGAACTAGAGAACTGCAGTGCTCTCCAAAGAACAGAGAGTTGCTTAAAAACTAGTTGTTTTCCTTGACCTACCATCTAGCAGCACTGTTTCTTCGAAAGAGGTCTTCTGTCCTTAACATGGCTGCCATGCCTTACATAACATCAATGAATGAGAATATAGTTATTTTGTTCCCTAGGACGTGCACTGCCTGTTAGCCACATGATTCTCCATATGGCACTGCAAACAGTCGAGACAAAGCTTTGCAGTAACGCAGCTCCAAAGATCAGCCTCCTCTGAGAATACGCAGCAGCAGAAAGAGACTCAGCCCTCACAAGCTCCGATTTCCCTTTCATATCTTTCTCTGGTAAATAACAGGCATTCTTACCTTAAGAAAACAACAATAATAATAGCGGTGCTCAGTAGACCCTCCTCTGTTTCGTCTGTGCTCGTAAAAAAATATCTTGGCGCAACTGTCTGCTGCAGCAGGTAATCAATAATATAACCTGCTTCTTCTGTCGCCAGAGCTGCTCCATCTGAACGCTAGCTAACGTGAACGCTGTCAGTGTGAGTCATAGCAGTGACTCAGAGCAGATGCAGAGCTGCAGGAGGAGTTTAAGTTTCAGAGCTTCCTCTCCTTCGCTCACTCCTGCTCTCTGTCGCACAGGCACGCACACGCTTGCTGCCAGTGTGCCTGTGTGTGCCTGCAGGCTGCCCCAGCTTTTTCTTTCAGCAGCAGGTTTGATTTCATCCTCTACATAATCTTGTTTGGTTTGGGTTTTTTCCAGGAAGGCAATTCTGTTTCTATCTTCATTGTAAATATACTTATCTTGAATGCAAAAGCTTGCTCTGCAACCCAGGTCAATATTGTGGTATGCCAGGTGGTGTGCTACTACAAGATATCTGTGGGCTCACACCTCTTATCAAGACTAGAGGAAGCATTCAAATACCCCATGAAAGATTCTAAAACAAAAAGTACTGTGTTAGGGCAATATCCCTTTATTCATCACATGTTTATAACAAAATGCCTCCAATTTCATTAAGTACTCTGGGGAGGACAAATTTGGTCTCAAATGCAGTGAGATAAAAGAACTGTAGGAAGATGAGATGCACATGAGCAGAAATCCTATGTAACTGACACCAGTTTAGCAAGGAGAAGTGCCTATAGGAAAAGAGCATAGGGCATTACAGTCAGGGGCAGTGCATTTAGGTTTAGAGTTGAATTCTATCAGCCTCCCCCACAACTAGCCATCTCACTAGGCACCGGCTGCCACAGTCAAAGAAGCTATTTGATCACCTATTTATTTCCCAGGCCTGCCAGACTCCCCACCACGTACAACTGAGAACAGGCGTCATGAAGCCAAAGTTAGGCACTTAATGTGTTGATATGCACTGCTGTACTGATTACACTTTATTTCTGAAAGTCATAGTATACTACACAGTTGCAGTGTTGAGCAAATCCAGCCTTCAAAAGAAGCAGATGAAGCCCTATACTATTAAGCCAACAGGTCAACCAGAAGGAAACAAACCATGGTGGGATGTATCAAGAGAGAATTGTCAAAAGAAGCTGCTGGCCCAAGGAACAACGGCATTAAAGCGTGTAGACCTACTTAACAGTCATTCATATAAACATCCCGGTTAGTTTGGGAAAAGGCACTTGGTTTATGTCAAAGCATTTACAGCAGAACATCTTTCCTCATACTTAGCAAATGTCCAGCTGGCTATTGCCCAGATAAACAGATTTGTGTTGAGATTTCTCATGGAAAAGCTTGTATCAAAGCGTGACTTTCATGGTTCTGTGGTTTTGGTCTTTTTAAAGAATTCCTTCTTTTTGCAAAGTCCAATCAAATGAAAAGTAAGCCCACCCATCCAACCCACGTATGTGCAGGGCAGTACTGTATCTGGTTGCTATTAAAGCCGCTGAACGAACTTCATACTATTGATGGTGAATGTTTACTCTCTTCGTGTATCTCAAAGCAGCCAAGAACACTGGCTTGGCAGGGATGACGAGATGAGAAGGAATCAAGCTGAACAAAACAATCCTTGAAACATGGTCACGGAGATAACATAAACAAGGGGGATACAGAATAGGAGGTGTTTACAAAGGTACACTGAACTAAACTTTTTCCCCTAAGACCATTAGCATCCTATCTACCAATTGGAAAATCTGTTGGATCCCATCCTTTCCCCCAGTTTACTAATGACAGTGAATCTTTGCTCCTGTCAAGCTTTTAACTCCTTATTTTCATCTCTTAAATGGTTGAATAGGCAAAAGAATGCTAAAGTCCACAGCATGCCTGGGGAAAAAAAAAAAACCAGCAACAAAAAACCAAACCAAGATCCCTGAGATTTTAAACAGAAAACTAACAACAAGGCCACAGTCCAAATGGCACCTATGAGACAGGCACAGAGGAAGACAAAACTGGAAGGTACTTGGGTTGGGGTTTTTTTTGGAGGGGGATGGTGGTGGTGTTTGTCTCATTTAAATGTATGGCATGCAATTGTATATCTACATTCAATTTTGTGTTATTGTCCACATAAAAGCACAGATTTGGATCGAAGATGACTCAAACAAAAGAGCTGTTAAAGGCCTCAAAGTGATAAAACACACCAAGAGTGAGCATGCAGTGTGTAAAAAACTGAGGCACATACTTGCCTCAGCTGCAAATGACCTGATCTACAAATCAGAAGCAATCCAGCTGCTGTAGGCAACAGATCCGTGTTGCCTAATTTATCAGCCTCCTTAGCTGGACCTTCTGCAGTAGAAAAGGTTTGGATCCCAGGTCGAAAAGTAGGAAAACCTGAAGCTTCTGACCCCAGAGGTAAAAGCCCCAAAAGTTTCACTGACGTGCATGAAATCTTGAACAGGAATTGTGAACAGGAAATCAGTACTAAATACTGCTGCAAGAGATTTTGCGTTAGAAGGCAGTGTAGACTATTATACACTCTTTAAGGACTACACGTAATAGTTTTTCCTTTTTCTCCTGTAGAAAACAAAGGTTTTTCTATAGTACCTATTCAACATGACCAAAGAAGCCTGTTCTTCCTCATCATCTCCCTGTCTGTGGGAAAATATTTTTGGGTTTTTTTTTTTTTACAAAGTAATCATTATGCCAACAGCAGTGAAAATGATTTCCCACAGCCTTTTCCAGGTTGTAAGACTCCATGTCAACTTGCTTTCTTATGAAAGGTAAGTCTAGTCACATTGTCCTTGCTTTTTTCTTCTTAACTACACTGTTCCAGGGAACAAAAAAACCCAAAACAAACAAACAAACAAAAAAAGCATTCCTTTTCTTCAAGGACAGAGCTGGCTCCCAACACAACAGAGTAACAGAAGCAAATTGAGGACCAATGCCAGTATGCACAGTAGTGCCTCCCCTCCTCCTTTCCCCTTCCCCCTCCTAGGCTTCCAGTCATCTTTCCATCAGCTGCACACTCTGCTGCATCCTAATGTTTTGTAGCCTTGCTTTTCTCAGCCCTACAGAAAGGTGGTAGTTCAGAGACACTAATTTTTGAGAAGCACTGTCGCAGTTTTCCAAGACGAAAAGCAGAGCACATTTTCTGTCCAGGCTCACGCTCCCTTTGTCTTTGTTACGGGCATTACGGTACTTTCCAAAGGCCCCCACCAGTGAGCAGCCACACATGGAGGTGAGCACTATGCACACACACACACAATAGAAGAGACCCACTGCAGAAGGCACACATATTCTGAAAAGACAGGCATAAAGTTGAAAACAGAAATATTTTTGCATCATCTTAGAAAGCACAGCAAACTGACTTGACCAAGGTTGCTCCACATGCAAATGCAGAAACTAGATTTCAGTGTCTTGCTCATTAGACCATCAGATTTCCCTTTTGGTGCATGTCAGTAGTAGGTTCACTTCTCCAGCTAATTACCTTTTGTAGGTATTTTGATATGCTATGACAAAAGCACTGCTTGCCTCTCAGGAAAAATAAAACTCCTGCTGGGAAAAGCATCAGCACCAGAACCTTTCCCCTGTGCAGACAACGAAGAGAAAGAAGAGCTTTACCGATTGAGTATGGGAGGAGGGAAGAGGATGCACTTATTTGTCACGTTTATCTGAAGTCTCCTGAAGATAAATAACAGGACATAGTACAGCGGTTGAACTTTTTACCATCACTACATCATCCACCAATGTCTCAGTAGCATCTTAAACTCATCTCTACAAAAGCAATTAGCAAAGCAACCCACAAAAGACTGTGGAAAACAGTTTCCACCACACCACACAAGCATATCTCTTCACTGAGATCACCTCCTCAAGTTACTGTTACAGCTATGACTGAGGTAAAATATATTTTTTATTTCTCTGATAGCAATTCAAAGCTACACATCCTGCACTGGAAAGAGACTAAGAAGTGACAAGCTGCCTGTAACACACTGCATGCAGATCTCAGAGGGAATTACTTGTGCGCATCTAGTGAAAATGCACAAGACGACCTAAATGCCCATTTCCTCTTTATGGTCTGTTCTCAGCAAATGAAACAAGAGACACTGAGAGACTAAGATCAGATAAATCAGCCAAAACACAGCAAGAAAAATATATCTCATAGCAACACAGAGGTACTGACCAGATGAGAGAGTAGTTTACAGCCAGTGCTGTAGCTCCTGCGTATACAGACATCCATACGTTTGCTGCATGTGAAGGCTTGCTTGGATAAGAAGGACTCCCCAGATTGCACTTGATGTCAGCATAGTGTCAGCTGACCTTTTGGCAGCTGGCCTGCTCATATCTATCCACTTCTGTTCTCTTTTTCTCTTTAATGCCAACATCTGCCCATGTTTTGCAGTGACAGAAAAGGTCAGTAAGACCCTAACGAGACATTAAACCTGATAATTAAGTGATGCACCATTTGCAATGACCACGTGCCCAATCTCATTCCCCCTGTATTCAGAACTCTCCTTTTTCCTAAAAAAACTACATACTGCAAGTGCAGAAGCATCTGAAATCTCAAATCTTATGTACATGCTCTTTAGATCACTTTAGATAACACTTAAGATCACTTTAGATAACAGAGAAAACACCTGGTCTCTCCAGGCTTTCAAGAATATTAACATTTGTTCTATCAACATAAACACAAATTTCTTATTCCACACAATCTTTACTTTTCTCCATAATGCCCAACTACCTCTCTGTTTCAAACCAGCATGCTTCATTTTCTGCACTTACACAATAATTTCAATTTAATATTGACCCGTGAATCCTAACAAAAGAGACATCCAAATCCGGGCATAAACTCATTTTGAGGCAAGCATATTCCACTGCATGATTTAAACATTATGGTTCCTTGCACTGTCTAACAAAATGCTATGCACTCTGGTGGGAGTTGTCTACATCCACTCATTTTGTTCATTCAATGCACTCTATACATTTTCTGAGTGAAGTTTTCCCTGTTGTCTTCACAATGCAGATCTCATGCTGGTCTTCGTGACCTACAATGGGTAGGTTCTTCAAATGCCTCAGAAAGAGCTATTGTCAATGCTGGAGAAAGTGGATGCAAAGACTTATTGTTTTCTCAGTACCATCTGCTGCACTGGGTAAACTGAATCAAAACCCAGTAAAATGAA